TTGGCCCTCTGACTTTTGTGTGTAGTTTTTGATGTCGATTCTTCAGATCGAAGCTTCTGTACAGAAATGGCAGCTTTCCAGGCGAAACTGCTTTAGCCTACTGAATGCCTTGACTTTATTCATCGAAAAGGGTGTCAGCAACACTTGTTGGAATGTGACCACTCGCCACATGAGCGTTTGGACGGAAGAACGACTTTTGGAATTGGTTAACTTTTTGACTACGCTTTCCGTTACCACAAGTCCGCTGTGTTCTGCTGACGTTGAGGACACTTCCTCCTTAGAAGCGATGATCTGTTGGAACCGAATTGTGAATTGTCATGCGGTGTCGAACATCCTATTAACTAATATGGTAAAAATCTGGAAAGTTTCAGGCGCATTTTTGATAGCGAATCTTTTGAAACCGAAAAGCCTGCTTCAACTATTTGCACTGCAGTTTTTTGCAGCATTGTTTTCTACTTTTATCGAACGGTGGTGCCTCAAATCTGAGGTTACATGTGACGAAACTGTCTCGCAGCTTATCGCGGAAGTGTACAGTCGGCCATTGAACGAATTTTTTTCATCAACAAGTCGATGGTTCGGTGGCGTTTTAACTCAGTCGTTTCATGAGTTTGATCCCGACCTGTTGCGACTTTTGATCTTAACCTCAGCGCAGCTTTCTTTACTCAGCCACTGCGTATTCGGTAAGGATAGTGCATATTATTATGAAATCTTACATGTCAGTAATGTCCAGTGGTTATTCGTCCATATTCGTATAGACTGATATTAACTCGCAGTTCAGTTCAGTAGATAACGATACGGACTGAAACTGGTTTGCTATTCAGTCCAATCCGATTATCTTTAGTTGGTACCGCGTTATCGTCTAAGCCTCAATCTCATGCTCTGCCACGATGTGTATTTTAACGTTCACGAATCAGTGCTGCATAGGCTTAATGTTAGAGGTAAGCTTGGCACTAATGAACCCAAAACGCGATATGACTGATTTGGACTGAATCGTGAATTAGTTTCAGTCCCTACGGACTGCCACTTTGACTGGTAACAAATAAGACTTTAAAATTCTTCTGCTTAACATTGTTTAATATAAGATAATATCAGCTGGTCGAAAAGCTAGGAACATTTTTAACGTCGAGTGTAAACTGCTGTAGACTATCGCTTTTCGCTGGGACCCTAATGACTTATAGCCAGCCCGTTTTATCAGAGCTTAATCTATTTATAAAATTTTATTTTTATTTGTGGTGCTAG